AGGACTTGTATCGCTGGAGTTCCTCGGAAATAATTTCTACCGGAAATTAACAAACAAGCAGATACGCAGCAATACTGTCATAATGTTTTTTGTTTTTTTTTTTTTGATGGAGTTATTTTGGATTATTTGATAAAAAGAAAAATGCAAAGTCCAGTCAACTTATTTATAACGAAAGCGTTTTATTTCTTCGACTATAAATTCTAAAAGTTAGTTTGATTAATGTTAATTGATAGGCCTACGTGCACAGTAAACGTTAATAAACTAACTAAATAACAGACTCACTAAATAAAAAAATGCTCTCTAACAAACTAAATAAAGCTTACTAATTAAGTTAATAAGAAATAATCATATGATATATCCTAATTCGTGTTTTATGCTGCTCAAACAAAATTACAGACGTTAAGCCACACGTAACACCAAACCTATCTCTGATACCTAAGTAAATAAACACAGAGTTTCGTTAGGTTACAGCTTTTACTCACTCCCAGATAGCGATATTTCATTTACAGCTCTAAATGGAACATATTATATAAAACGTGTTGAATAGTTTTTCATCCATTCACAATTAGTTCACAAAACTCTTAAAGATAAAATCCCAACCTCTAAAGCTATAGTTCTCTCTCTCTCTCGTGTCAAAATAATCAAAGATGTGAATCAGCGTCATCTAGTGAGAAGTGAGTGAATCTTTACCCTGTTAGTTTTATTTTTATTTTTACTTTGAAAATATACACTTCAAAAAACGACTCAAGAATCAGTTGATAAAATAGAACTTTTCCTGCTTAGCATTTATCTTCAAATCTATAAGATCGTGACTGTTCTTGTTGATACTACTTGTCGGAAAATGCAAAGAATTCTGTTTAGAATGTGACAACAGAAGGTAAGTCGCACGCACAATGAAAATATGCATTTTGTTATTACACAAGTGAAAAAAAACATCAATTTTCTGAAATAACAACAGTAGAAATTTTGAAAGACGACATTTGATAAAGTTCAAGAGCCAAAGGGTTCCGTCCACTGACCACAGATTATTTACTGCAAATCGAGACCTCTCTTTCACTTCTTTAAAAGAAGAAACAAATTTAACAATTTTAACACAATAAAAAGCAACCCTATTTGACTGGAACAAAAGTATAAGAATTAACGACAGAAAATAATAGGTTTAGAACTCATGATAAAACACGTTATCTTATTTCTCACACTACCACAATAGCTACTCATAAAATAAAGAAACTGAATAACTTTAGTAAAAGTACACACACACACATATATATATAATTTGTCACGAGGTTGTTTCAATTAAGTAACGTAGCAACTGAGACAATGAAGTCATCAATAACAAACACCATAAAACATGTTTGTATCAGTTGAAATTGTGAAGGGTAAATCATACCTTGAAAAAAAATGTCATTAGAAATTATTACAATAATATGAAGACATATGTACATATACATATATATATAATAGAAATGAATTTATAACAAGATTTTTATCACGTACAATAAAAATACGAGTAGATGACGAATTGTCATTAACAAACAATGAAACAAGTAATGGAAGTGGACGACGAGAACGTTACCTTTTTTTTTCTTTTTTGTTTACTACTTAGCTAAGTATAATGTCCTTGAAAACAAGTAAAAGAAAGACCAATTAAACACGAAAAATGGTGAAATTACCCAAACACGTGATCTCATACCGGTTACATTAAGAGTACAAATTTTTAGTTGTCATCAACTGGAAACTTGGAAATGTTAGGCTTAGATTTATTTAATCGTCTACTAAATTAAATGTAAGATGGCGCGAAATGATAGCTTCGGTTTATGAAAGGCTTCCTTTTAATTGTTTCTCTAAGTTGGAGATTTGGAATATTAACAGTAACTACGATTTTACTATATTTTATTTCGTTGCTGTTCGTGTTTTGTGTGTAATAAAACTGCGATGTATATTCACTGTCCAGGCACAACAATCGAATCCCGAATTTTTATATTTTAATCCATAAATTTACCGTTATGACATGTACAAAACGTGCTGGAATTTATTAACCATGACTTTGATGAGGATATGATAGTATGTTAAATTTCAAAGAAATTTTTAGTTTCTTTGTTGGTTTTGGTTTTGAATTTCGCGCAAAGCTACACGAGGGCTATCTGTGCTAGCCGTCCCTAATTTAGCAGTGAAAGACTAGAGGGAAGGCAGCTAGCCATTACCACCCACCGCCAACTCTTTTACTAACGAAAAGTGGGATTGACCGTCACATTATAACGCCCCCACGACTGAAAGGGCGAGCATGTTTGGTGGGGCGGGGATTCAAACCCGCGACCCTCAGATTGCGAGTCGAGCGCCCTAACCACCTGGCCATGCCGGGCCAATAAAACTTAATCGAAGAAATATATTTAAATGAAAAATAATGTACAGAGCAATATATAAATGAAATTTTCAAGTTAATAGGATTGTAAACTGATGAATTATTCATTATAGAATTTTTATTCTTTGACTTACAGTTCTTTAAGGGAAGCATCACAAAGCACGTGCCACGTATTTTGTTGAAAGGGTTGAAATCTTATACACTGGTAGGCTGTATCTATTAACATTCCTCCTGTATCGGAATTACTGAAGTCAATGGAATATTCATCCTCGGGCTGAGGAAGGGCATTAAGTGTTGCAGGGCCAGGAGACACGCCATCTGGTAAAAACAGAACACTTTAGGTTCTTCATTTCTATAAAAACAGAACGTTTAGATATGTCAAAGAAGAATAAATTAAACTAGAAATGTATTTAAAGCGTTTATTAGTGGATAACAATACACAAAACTTTCGGATAAAGTTTACAGGAAACAAGCAAATTTCACAATCGGTAGAAATGTCGATTTATTAGTTATCTTTTTTTTTTATCACAACGTAACTTTATTAAATGTTTGTGCATTTGTATTTTACCATTCACGTACAAACGTTGTCGCCTACTTTGTCTGTGGAACACTTTGACTTTAGCCAGAACTTATGATCCTGAAATGGAATTTAGGGTTAAAAGCGATCTCCTGGAAGGTTTTTGCGCCACCTAGTGCGATACGAGATTTAAAATAACACGGAATAAAACATATATATCTGAAATTTCTGTCAAGACGAATTAACTTCTTGACATATTTGATTTTTGGAAATTCTATAACTGTGGAACAATTTGAAAATTCCAGCACATGGACTCGTTCAAACTAAAAACATGTGAGATGTACCGTAGCGTGCAAACAACAATTAAAAAAAATTATTCAATACGAAGCTCGCCTAAAAAGAAAATCGTATACTGTGACTTTTCCACCACCCTACTGAGTTTTTTTCTAAAAAAACAACAACCTTACTCTGACTAGGTTCCTGCTGTATGGAAACCATGCCCTAAAAAAAAAAAACCTTTACACTTACTAGGTTCCTGCTTTATGGAAACCATGCCCTTAAGTAAACTTGTGCTGAGTGAAGTTTTAGCTGAGTCAGAGAACTTCCGCTTCTTTCTTGGGTTACTGTCATCAGACCCACTTATATTTTCACACAATATTTCGTCACTGAAATATATCAACACATGAATCAGGAACGTAAATCAATAATACGATTGAAAACGACAACAGCAACATTCAAAACAACACGTATTGTATACAAGTTATAACATGTACTTAGTGGCATATCTGTAATAATCTACCAAGTAATTCATTCACATTCTTTAGTTAATACAGATTTGTATTTGTCATCTTAGGGTGAGTTCTTGTGACAGTATATTGTCATAGAAGACGTAAGAGCTCAAGAGTATAACCGTTTACTTGTTCATTTAACTCCTCCTCGCGGTAGATTTCGGCAACATACTAACAAGAGTTATGTGCATGTCAGAACTTATTGGACTTCTGACAAAATTTGAATGTTTTCAGAGTGACCTCTCTCAGTTATATAATGGATTTTACCTTTATATAGACACTTTAATCCCCCCTTTTAGAGGGTATGAGCTTGAAGGTGATAAATAAGGCCTAGCTCGAAAAACATCAGCAAAGAGACTTTTTGACCTTACTGTAAAATTTCCGTTTATTTTCTTGAAATTTTCGATATTACTAAAACATTAATTGTCAAATAAGATACGGATGTCAAAGGTTTTTTTGTAGTCTTTTAACATTTGGTGATAATCATTTGACGTATCTGTATCACTTTCAAGACATTATTGAAGTTGGATATAAATTAAGTATTAATACTGGTTTTATTATTACGAGATTTTCGGTTAAAATTTTCGCAAAAACAAAAATTAAAGATCCAGTAATAAGTAGTTGTTTACAATAGAAGAAAAAAGAGTTTAATTAGTGTTAGTTGATCATTTAGGCTATTAACAATGACAACGGTTTAAGGTAATATTTTTACAATGATCTGCTGCTTTACTTTGTGCTTCATTTTATATTATCAATTTATTTACGAAAAACAGTGACTGATGTGGCTTTAAAATACCTGCAGAATTTGTTAATTTTGATAAATACTGGCTTTTATGATAAATATATCCTGCAACACTACTAAAATATCTAAAGTCGAATATATAGTTGTTTATGTTGATGAATAGCCTACCTGTTGTATAAGTTTGGTATCTGATTACTAGGTGGCACCACCGACAATGACTGATGAGGTGAAATACCAAGACTTGCTACCAGAGCGTTGGTGATTGTTGGCGGCAACTCCGATGTCATGTGACCGCTTGATGCGGTAACTTGGATGGGAAGGTGAGGTACTCGATTCCCCGTGTGGGTAGGCATAGATATTTGTCCTGGTTGTTGAGGCTGAAAGCCAGGTTAGAGTTACCATTAATAATAATTATTTAACAAAAAATTAACTGCATAAGTGAATTAGAAACATTGCAATTTTCTTTGTTCTAGGATTTACCAATTATGTTGTTTCAATATTATTCAAAATTATTATTTATTTCTCTCCTTATTAGTGTACCACATTGTAGTCCACTTCTCTGAGGGTCGCGGGTTCGAATCTCCGTCCCACCAAACATGCTCGCCCTTCCAGCCGTGGGTGCGTTATAATGTTACGGTCAATCCCACTATTCGTTGGTAAAAGAGTAACCCAAGGGTTGGCGGTGGGTGGTCATGACTAGCTGCCTTCCCTCTAGTCTTACACTGATAAAATTAGGGACGGCTAGCGCAGATAGCCCTCATGTAGCTTTGTGCGAATTTCAAAACAAACAAACAAACTAAACTACCTTGACGTACGCTTCATTGAACTGGAACCTGGCATGGCCTGGTTGCTAGAGCGCTCGACTCGGAAACTGAGGGTCGCGGGTTCGAATCCTCTTCATCAAACATGCTCGTCCTTTCAGCCGTGGGGGGTGTTATAATGTGACGGTCAATCTCACTATTCGTTGGTAAAAGAGTAGCCCAAGAGTTGGCGGTGGGTGGTGATGATTAACTGCCTTTCTTCCAGTCTTACACTGCTAAATTAGGGACGGCTAGTGCAGATAGCCCTCGTGTAGCTTTGCGCGAAATTCAAAACAAACAAACCAACAAAGAAACAAAAATTTCTCTGAAATTTAATATACCATCATATCCTCATCAAAGTCATAGTTAATAAATTCCAGCTCGTTTTGTACATGTCATAAAGTCTCCCAATCCCCAATGGGCTAACGGTAAATTTACGGATTAAAATATAAAAATCCGGGATTCGATTACTGTGCCTGGAGAGTGCATATACATCGCATTGCGCAGCTTTGAGCTAAGCAGCGCTAAAAGCTTTTTTGATGGCGGTGGAGTCAAAGCTAGGTACGCTCCATTTAAAAGGGCCTTTTAATTTTGTTAACTTTATACTAAATTGCAAGAACTTTTAACCGCAAATTATTTCTGAAAGTTAATTTATTCATCCGTAATTTCCGTGTACTACTTTTTGACAGTTACGATCAAAAGCTTTCGTTTGATTGTTTCAGAATTTCGCGCAAGGCTACACAAGGATTATTTGCGTGCGCGCAGTCACCTCTAATTTTGAACTGCTAGACAAGATAGAAGGCAGCGAATCAACAGAACCCACTACCATCTTTTAGGCTACTCTAGTTTGGCCAAGTATCATGACTTGTCAGTCACTTTTGTAGCCTACTCAGAACTCCTACGTTTTTGCGTCAACGGGCCATGAGCCACGAATCATTGGATTCGAAGTCGGGGCACGCTAACCGTTGCACCACGCCTGGCCTACAATCAAAATCAACGACGCACTAGTAGCACGTAACTGTATACATAATGGTTACTTACGTTTAGAACGACAAGATATGAATTATCTGACAGTACCAAAATGACCTAATTCATAAGGCCCGGCATGGCCAGGTGGTTAGGACGCTCGACTCGCAATCTGCGGGTCGCGGGGTCGCATCCCCATCCCACCAAACATGC